AGGGCAGTATGTTACGTTGGCCTCCTGCTGCTGGTGCGGCCCGCCGTCTTCGGAAAAATAGCCGAAGCCAAATCCCCCGCCGGCGTTGCCGTAGGAACCGCCGCTGTGGTTCCCCCCGTGAGCCGCGAGCCCATACCCGTATCCCGCCTCGGAAGGTGATGGGGCCCAGCTTGGCGTGGGTGCCGGCGCCGACGTTTGCTGCCATCCCGAGCTGCTTTCGCCACCGAACGAATCTCCGCCCCCGATGGCCAGGTGAGCCGGAAAAAAGGGCCGCGGGACGCTGGCAAGCTGCCCTGCAGGTACGTTGGCCGGCGGGAAATTGCCCCCGCGGCCGCCGCCTTGCCCACGGCTTTCGTAGGGGCGAGGCCCGTAGCCGCCGTAGCCCCGTCCCCCATCGTTGCGCCCCTGCATCTGCCCCCCAGCTCCGGGTCCTGGCCCACGCGGCGGCCCCTGAGGCGCATGAGGGTGGCCCTGACTCCAGCCCGCACCGTGTTGGAATTGGTACGACTGCTGTACTGATGGACCACCAACCCGCCCCAGGTTCTGCGATCCGCCTCGTGGATGAGCGGCCGCCTCGGCGTCCCTCCTGCCGCTCAAGTACGCGCTGATCTCGTTGTAATTCGCCAGGAACTCGCTGCGCAACTTGTGACAGTCAGCGGTCGCGTGCGAGGTGTTGGGCCCGTGGTACTGGCAGATGTACGGTCCCAGCTGCTGCTGCTGCTGCTGCTGCTGCTGCCGCTGCTGCTGCTGCGGTGGCTGCATCGACGCCTGTGGCTGCTGCTGCTGCTGCTGCTGCTGCGGTCCGCCGTGACCCATGCCGACAATGGCTGGTCTCCTCTGCCCGCCGCCCCGGCCCATGCCGGCAGCGACGAGGGCGTGCCTCGTCTCCTCTCCTCTCTCTCCAGACCTCCGCTCGTACCTCTGCTCGTGCTCAGCCGTCCTCAACGCCTCCTGCATTTGTGCACTCGACAACATGGGGTGAAAAAGGACACGCTCTTTAATTTTCTCAAATTCTGGCAAAAAACCCCGAGCGATGTGCTTGCACATGGACACTTCAGCACGATTATCACCGTATGACACCAGTCTCATCCAAAGCGCCTTAGCTCTACCAAAGTAGTCCATCAAACTTTCTCCATTCCTCTGACACAGCACATTCCACTGATCATCAAACGTCTGTCTTTCCTCGTTTTTACTGCGTCGGTAGTAGTCCAAGAAAATTTTGTACCCGGCTTGCGGACTCTCCGCTGCGAGCAATTGCCCTTGAATAGATTGTGCCGTGATCTTCGACAGCATGAAAATCCATACCTTCCTAGACTGCTTTACTCTCTCCTCACCAAACGAACGTTTCATCCAATCCACATTCACTTGAGCTGCAGCTACAGGAATCTCTGGGCCTCTCATTGCGTCAACCACTCCCCTCGTTCTCCATCCACGCTTCAAACGCACTCGTGAAAATCCGCAACGCAACCTCCATCGATCGATTTTTGAGGAAATCATCACTCCAAACAGGGACCTCGACTTTGTCCCGCTGTTTCAACTCTACTGTCTGGGCGCTAGACGTGCCTGAATGGGCACGATGCCCCTGGTCCTGGGAGTTTGCCGTGAAAGCATGCTTGAGAAGGTCGACCAGCTGACGCATCGAGTCTTGCTGATCTCCCCCCGCCGCCGCTCTCCCTCCCAGATTGTCTTGTTCTTCTGCATCGGCGGTGAACGAATAGTTGGTTCCTCCATCGCCGGTGCCTTCTCCCGGGGAAGGATCACCATGACCTTGTCCCCCCGGAGGCTGTCGTCCGTCTCCATCCGGCATCTTGCGCGCGTAGACACAGCGGCCACTCTCTTGATCGAAACGCTAGCGTGTTGAGTAGCTTTGTGCGTGGGTGCCTCGGCGCGGGGTCCCGTAGTGGGAAACAAAAGGTGCCAGCAGCTGGGTACTGCCAACGGTCAAAATGTAGAAACTATCCGCGGGCGTGAAAGCCCTTCTACGTGGTGGAGCGTGGAAGCTCGTGTATAATATAGTTGTGGCGTGGAAGCCGGGTGGCGTGGTGGCCCTGATGTAAAGGTATATTTAGGGACGTGGGAGTCCTGAAGGCGTGGAAGCCGGGTTGGCGTGATAGCCGGAGTATGGGCGTGGAAGCCGGGGTTGGCGTGAGAGCCGGAAAAAGGACTTGATTATACACAGAAAAAGGAAGTGAGGAACCACAAGCCACGCACACAAATTCCGTTGTAGACACCCATACCCTCAAACCTGCAATATGTGATAAAGTTGGTACCACCAAATCTAATCCATAGCAACCATTGAACCCCCAAACTCCCCGCTCCATCTGCTCGGGAAATTCTTGCTCGCAATAATCTGTTGATGCTGTGAGTACATCCAACAGCAGTAATGGCTGAACCCTTCTCGCGAAAAAACACTAAGGCAAGCACCGCAGGGGGGAGGTGGGGTAAAAAAACAAAAATGAAAACAGGCTTTGCTTGTACATGCATAAATATACAGCAGTAGTACAAGGTTTTTGGCGGCTTATATTACGCCGACACGCCCAATGGAGCGAGTCCCAAGGTACACGGGGACGGTACGTGTGGGGATCGTGGAAGGTTAAATGGAAGAAAACCCGAAGATCTACCGAACCTCACCGCCCGTTGACCGAACGCCGATGGATTCCGGGAAAAGATTCCGGAAAAAGATATTCATATGAGAAAAGATAAAGATATGTTACTCATATGAGAAAAGAGCCGCGTGACACACGTGTAAAAATTATAGGTATTATTGTGTGTGTGACAGAGGGAGATAGAGAGAGACAGAAAAAGAGAGACAGGAAACAAATGAGAGAGGGAGAAGGCAGAGAAAGACACACAGACAGACACAGAGACGGAGAGAGAATCACAGATACAGACAGAGAGAGAACGGGGAAAAAATAAATATACCTGGTACAGTACCATAATAATATAGTTGTACCGCCCATCCATTCGGACTCTGGTTCCGATTCTAATTCCGAGAGAGGAGAGAGAGAAAAAGCGCCGAAGAGAGAGAGAGAGAGAGAGCGTCTCTCACGACTCGACGGACGGCGAGACAGCGAGACCGGTAGAGAAAAAAGAAGGCAGAGACGAACGGAATGGCATTGGAGAGGACGATAGAGCACATCGGACCGAAGGAACTGCGCTCCGAGCGTCAAAATTGCGAAAACTGCAAAATGCGAAATGCTGGCCTGTCAGCGCTCGAACGGTCCGGACTGCACTCTGAAACCAAGTGAATACGCGTGGTGGCCTGAGAGCGCTCGAGAGAGCGTTTCCCGGCCCGGAGAAAATGCTGCGATTCTAGAAAAAGATAAATGAAATAATTGTTTTGTGTGGTAGTAGCGTAGTGCAGAATAAGTACCGTATATGACACAAAATAACACCCCCCTTGAAAAAATTACGGCACGACGAAGAGAATGTATAAATGAAACAGTACATTTCGGAAAGCTCTCGACGAGACAGCTTCAACGCCAACGCGTGTTCGGCGTTGTGACTCGTTCTCTTGTTGAGAGCAACACTCCTCCTACACTCCTCCTCACAGCTATGTACTGTAGCTTACAGAGAATGACGCGAAAAAAAATGTTCTTTGCAACGATGTACACACACACACACGCACACACGTTCGTGTACTTCGGACGCGTCTGTTTCCCGGCAAACCCTGCCAGCCACTAGTTTCACCTCGAATGGGGTTGACTGACCCGGTCGGCCACTCTGCCTGCTGTGCCTGCTGTGGAGGAGGACCGAATTCGCGGGGTATTCGTCGATTGACTTTTACCAGAATCGGTTCACCTTCGCATCCATGCATATATATGGAAATACCCGTCCTGGCCACACGGGTTCCCAGTTGATTGTGGGTGGAGAGTGTTCATAACCCGACTCGCAGGGTATCCGTCGATTGACATTTTTACCAGAAATTGGTACACCTTCGCACTGCCTGTCGTCTCGAGGGAAGGGACCTCCTCTCTTGTTCTCATTTGTAAAGTGATGTGTCTTCTCACTAAGGAAGGAAGTTAGTAATCGAGAGTTGAAGTTCGGTCTACAGCAGCAGAAGATATGATGTTTATATCTACTTTCATTGTGCCATCTACGAATATCCCATCTAGACTAGTCTATGGTGTGTGTCCGTGTGTGCAACTCTCCCGCGGTGCGAAATAGGACCAAATACGTACGGAATCACAATAGCCAAACAGAAAACTCTTCGAAGCCCACCTACCGTATGATGGGGAGAAGGGGGCGGCAGAAGACACAGGGCTCGCGTCTCTCGGGACAGTAGTGAATGTGCGATGACGACTATCGTTTTTCAACCGGCTTCGGCAGATGATGGATACACGCATGCCCGAGGTAAAGCAGAATCTACATGGAACCATTTCCGCTCAAACTTCCCTTTGCTCTTCGAGTGCTGCACGGGTTGGGGCGTCTTGATTCACTGATCCACCTCCAACCAGACGGCGCAGTAGGCTTAAAACCGCGCCACCTCCCCTTTGCCCGAAAAGGCAGTGGGGAGTCATCTGTTCTCTCGGGAACACATACAAATAACATCGCCACTGTCCTCCGCACTTCCAACCACTGTTTTCTCTCCGTAGATTACCGCTTCGTTTCCCCGCGAAAATGGGCATGCTTGAGTACAACCCGCCACTCACTGCACAAGATGCGGTGGGCCCTCTACCCCCTCTTCCGACCGGCGCTGGAGGTGGTCGCGCTATTAAAAGTGAAGCAGCCATGTGAATAGGGCCAAATCACACAACAAAATAAAACTAAAAGGTCATTTGGCTTCCATTCGACACCCCCGTTCACGCAATCTCGACGGAGGAGAGCAGGTGAGGGGGTGTTACGGGCGCCTCTCGCCCCGTCCTCTACGCAGAGTAAATATATACAACTACTCGAGGGCAGTGAGGCCTAAAAAACAGTATCTATACAATCATCATCCCCATGGGTTTGTAAGCTCGGACTGAGATGAATTGTACAGCCAATATACAACATGTGTTACACGCGTCTTCCCTCCCAGTTAGGAAGAGGTGAAGCTGACCCACGAGATGAAAAATAGGAAAATAAGTTGGAGCAAATCACCCGACCGACCGAATCCAGACAGGCAAATTCCCGCGCTCGAAACAAAAACCGCCGTCATGAACTTCTAAAACACAGCCCCCAACGAAATTATTCTGGTTCCAATCCACTTTCATTCTCCATTCTTGTTGTTCCAGCTCGCTTCAAGGCCGATGACAGCGAACGGGATTAGTCGTTCCACACAGCTCGCAGGAAACCAACTGCTGATCCTGCTGTGGCATGGGAACAGGCCCGGGGCCTGCGACGCTACGCCGACATCTGGCCAGTCTAACTCGTACCCCCTGGCACCCCCGCGACAAAACAACCACCTACGGGAGGAGGCAGTTTACTGCTCGGCCTGCCGATCGGCATCAAGTTGACAGAATGAACCAAGAATAGCACCGTCACGAGTCTGCAGGGTTATCGGCGGAGGAACCCAGTGAGGCTCTCATCCTAACCGACACGCCCGAAACGCGAAACGCCTGGCCTTGTCCGGTTGGTCTGGGTCGGTCCGATCCGACTTTTTCATTGCTGCCAGCACCTTACCAAAAACGGTTGACATTTTTCGCCTTGGGGAACAATATGGTTTTCAGAGCCAACAGCACGGAACTGCTGACGGGCTCAGTCGGATTTCTTGCCCGCCCGCTTCACGTTCGTGATGGAGGAGCGGTACAGGCGGTCCCCCGCGCTCTTCTTGAGCATGCTCTGGGCGGCGGCCTGGCCGGCGGAGATGCGGGCGATGGGCACGCGGAAGGGGCTGCAAGAGACGTAGTCGAACCCGAGCGAGTGGAAGAAGCCCACCGATTTTGGCTCGCCGCCGTGCTCGCCGCAGATCCCCACCTTGTGTTGCGGGCAAACACATAAGTGCAGGGAGCGAGAAAGTTGGCTGGAAGGAAGGACAACTTCAAAGATAAAAAAATTCGGAGCTGTCAGATGCAGGCGTTGAAGGCAACTAGGTGCGCGGGGGCGGGGGGGGGGGGGAGTAACGCATCTGGTATAGGGCACCTTTGTCCCCGGGTG